CTTCTCCCCACGCCAAGATGCCTATTCTCCCGCTCCTACGCGAAGCCATGGAACGGTAAGATCTATCAAGTATTCAAGAAGGAAATGGAGATGACCAACCAGAACAATGAACAAAAACCCTTCGAAGATGCGAGATCACCTAGGGTAAAAGGCGGTGGTATAATCGAAACTAGATGCGCCTTTCATCAGTTTTGGAGGAATTCGTTCGAAATAAAACAGCAATCAAACCAAACAACTGTCTAAATCATTCGAAGAATTGTATGGACTGTGTAATTTCCACTGTGTCTGAAGACCAGAGGATATGATATAGAGTTTTTTGACACCAAAATGATATCATACCAACTTACCAACATTTTACCAACTCGATGGAGGTGGCAGCATAAAATGCAAAATCGGCACAGCCACGGGGATCCGATCCATCAATCCAGCTTAGTCATGCCAACTCGATGTCCACATCACTATCCACCACACCATCCGTCGCTGCCAGCGGCTCAACCGTGGAGAGCATATATGAAACTTTCGCGCACTTTTCAACATGTGGCTCCCTTTTTTGGCTACCGTTCACGTTTTTCTCAATGCGCAGTCCACTGGCACCTCCTACTGTGCGCACGGTCGATGCCATAAATGAAACAAACGGCGTTTAAAGGGTTAAAACGGCAATTTCTGACAGGATCATTTTCACTCTTTTTTTGGCATTCATTGCCATTTAGCGGAAATGGACCATAGTTCTACACTTAGTGCGCATGCCCCTATACCACGCTAAAAACCAGTTTCAAAAAGCGTCCCACGCCCTGAAAGACCTTCCTTGTGCGTGAACTGTAAAATTGTTGTTTTATTTCATATCTATGTATTATTGTTGACGCCTATTATACGCAATTGTAACGCCATGTAATCTATTCGCTAGAACTACAATATCTTATTCATAATAAATGAACACTTAATATTGTAAGTGCAATTAAGCACAATAAACCTTGCTTAGCTCCCTTCGTTGGCTACATCTATGTAGCTACATACTTTTCGCCCCGCCCCAGTGTTGTGGATTCACAACATATCTATGTTTATAATAGAACCAGCCTTCATAAGAATGAGTGGTAACATGCTAGTTCAACATATTACCCTTAGGCGTAACTTAATATGAGTATATCTGGGACGAGACCACAGGCATGACCTGGCGGCATCATAAGGGTGCGATCAAGTAGTAACTCTAATTCTGCCAATGGTGCGGTCCGCCCTTTCATCCCCCGAGCTTGAGTACCACCAAGGCCCCTCTCAGGTCCAGTGACGATACGGTATCTGAGGATTACCCATACCTTGTGTATATAAATCCGTGAATGTATTATTATGGTAGATCTTTGTACTAAACTTCCATTGTTGCACGTCCCTAGTACGATCTTTCTTGGGTAATCCACCAAAATTTCTGTCACCGCGTGCCTCACCAGTCCTTCCATGCAAATCTAGCCACGTAGTGAGCGACGACTGAAGTACCGGGATCGTTAACACCGTGATGGGTGCTACGTACGTCCTTCCCTAATCGGTTAGACTGATAGCTGGAGCATCCAGAGATGTTCGATAGTAATGCTAAAAGAAGTAGCAGGTACCAATCCGTTTCTAATGGATATTGTCATCGTTAGGATCAACCGCATGCCAAATTTTACGTGAACTCCACAAAATCGGTGAACATTCGCCCCGTCTGCTCCTAATTCGGGGTTTTGAGCATGATACCATCTGCAAATCGGAGATGACGAAAGTGGCGGCCGTCTATCTTCACATCTGTGTATCCCCATCCTGTTCATAAGTTGTTATGGGGCTCAAAATGAATCCTTCCAGTAGGAACACCTTGCACACCTAGCGCTTAGACGACGGCTTCTAGCTATACATGGTCTTTTTGCTGGGGTTTTCTGAGTCTAGTAACATTTTCAACGCTTCATCGTAGTAGCTTGATGTTGGCGCTTTGCTAGAGTTGTCGTGAAACAAAAATCTTCAATTGCTAACGCTCAACACGGATTGTCAACACTGGCCTTCACACGAGTCGAAGTTAATAACCAAATGCTTGCTGATGAGGACATTCACACCACCACCGCTTCTGGGTCGGGTATCGAGTGGATAGCGAGCCACGCTGTCTCAGAATGGACAGGGGACTCACTTGTTAGAGGTTTGATCATTAGAGGCTATCCCGGATCGCCTCTAACGCAGCCACTCAAATATAAGTTATCAGCTGAGCCCATGTGCAAGACTCCACCTGTACCCACAAACCAGCACAAGCATGCATGGATACACGAAGAAAGAGAAAGTAAAGTCGGCAAAGCGCAGCAGAAGCAGCAAAACCGACACCTGAGCTCACCTGCTCTTTAGGCAGCTACCGGCGGCTCCTGGTCGGCAGTTTACCCCTATCACCTATTCGAAGAATTTCTAGCCTCTCGTCAGCCTGCATTAGCTTTCAAAGAGAGAAAGGGATAGAAAACGCTTAATGAAGATTTGAGTACTCACTACCTTCGGTCGCAAAAATACTAAAAGTATTTCTTCATCTGAAAGAAGGTGCGAAATAATGGTTCACAATATATTTTCGAAAAGCACAGACGGGGAGAAGTAGGCGGAGGGGAGGAGGGGCAGGGGAAGGGCGAGTTATGGAAATGTGCGGTAATTCGAGTTGCGGTTGCGTTTTGTATCATACCACTAACAAGGGAAGGATACTTGGTCGTTATTGCCATTCAAGATGAGATGTATACCCCTGTAGGTGGTTTCGAACGCTGATTTCAAATCTGTGTTTCGAATCTGCGAAACGATTCTGGGAACAAAGTTACGGGACCGATGCCTCCCCTGTGTTATAGCACTGTACCGAAGAATAACCGCGTCGAGCAAGCCCACTACTGTGCAATGGTGGCCTAGCGGCTAGTGCGGTGGACTGGTAGACATGGCACCAAGGTTCGACTCCTTGATGCATTCACTCGTTTTGCTTTTGCATGAAATGCGTCCTAAACGCTTGCAAAACGTTTTTGGGCCCAATGATGGGCATCTACAGGGCTCCCCCACAATTTAGGACGCCGGGGAATGGCGATTCTTTAAAAAGTTTGGCACTATTTACTGCCCCAACTTGTCGGGAATGGGCTGGATTTCTACCGAATTTTTTCAAAGAAGATGAAACCGGCTAGAAACTTGCCTACAGGGGTAATTTGACCCGTAGAACACGAATATTGTATCCATTTGTCATAAAGATGCCTAGCGTTTGCGCTACAGGCGCCTGCGCCAAATCGCTGGATCACCGATCCTGCTGAAAACTTGCCCCTGACTAGTGTCCCAAGCGTTTTCATGACGAGTGAATGCCATATTCGTGTTCTACGGGTCAAATTACCGCTCTAGGCGAGTTTTTAGCCGGTTTCATCTTCTTTGAAAAATTTCGATAGAAATCCAGCCCTTTCTCGACAGAATAGGGCAGTAAAGGTAAATAGTGCCAAAAATTTTTACCACTGTTGACCGAATATACACGCCTCTTTACCTCTGAGCCAAGATGGTGTTTCGAAATCTTCGGCAGCTCCCTGCGCTTGCGGTAGACGGCGGTCGAATGACTCATCTGACCACCTCCCACTTTGGAAGGGATACGGTCCAAACATTATAGGAATAGTGTCCGGGCTTCCGAAGCAGTGATACAAATTAACTGGCATTGTTAAGAAATACTGTAGAACAATAGTTTAACGCTATGTGTGCACATATGATTATCCGCTCATTCTTGAGGTAAACGTCCTTTCAAGGAGCACTTTCATGAGGTAAACGTGGTGATGCGATGGGGCATAATACGACGTTGTCCTCAGAACCGTGAATCCACTCACGAATTGTTTTGAATTTTCCCAGGCCTTAATTGCTGATTGGAAGTGGTATCCAGTGGCAATGACTGTTGAGCAATGGGACTCCCATATTAATTTTATGATAACTAATCCTTCCAATTTATCCGCTAATCCCAGCAAGTACGCACATCGACCCGCTTGTTTTGCACCTGATAGCTGCGGCCACATAAGGCATCGTAAGTTGTCAACAATAGAATAATTGAAGGCTCATGCCCCATTAATTTCTGTGGACGGCACTCTGCCGTGACGATGAAGAACGTGTTACTCATGTTAGAAGCGCTGCGGCCTTCTGACACTCCAGCTACAGAAGGCCGTGGATTCTTCTACCAGCGCCATAAAATTGGAGCTCATGGGCCAGATTACAAACTTGAAGGCTACGTCGTCATTTGGAACTCTTCTTCTAGATGCCTCTCGAGCCCATTTTAAGCGAATATTTAGAATTGTTTTTTGATCGAACAGAGCTCCACCTCATTCGGCCGGTGAGGGGCAAAAAAAAACTTTCTTTGTAACACCTTTCCAGTGTTCCTAAATTGTGAGGGAGCCCTGTCGATGCCCAACGTTGAGCCCAAAAACGTTTTGCAAGCGTTTAGAACGCATTTCATGCAAAAGCAAAACGAGCGCATGCATCAAGGAGTCGAACCTTGATGTCATGTCTACCAGACCACCAGCCGCTAGGCCTCCACTGCACAGTACTGTGCTTGCTCGACGCGGTGATCCGTTCGGTACAGAGCTATAACATAGGGGAGGCATCGGCCCCGCAACTTTGTTCCCAGAATCGTTTCGCAGATTTGGAACACAGATTTGGAATCAGCGTTCGAAACCACCTACGGGGGTATACATCTCATCTTGAATGGCCACTGCGACCAAGTATCCTTCCCTTGTTAGAGAGGTCATGATACGTTGCTGCAATTCGACGAAGAACTCACCAGCCTAGTTATTCGCACCTTATTACCTGCACCATTAAGGCTAACCTTTCCAGGCTTCCAGAGATATTCACCAAGTGTAACAAATAGCAAAAAGTTTTATAAGAAAAGGTCCCCAGAAACTTTTCTTCTGAAGAACATACTAACAGAAACACAACGAACGCAGTCAATTCAAAGTCGTGATTAGCTAAACGTGTTTTGTAAGACTTTTTGCAAAGCGAAAGAGACAAGATCGGACAAGAAGAACCAGAAGTAACTGTTGGAAATAATTTCAAATATTAGCAAGAGGTCACAATATAAAAAACTCACGAATTCGTAATCGTCGCTCGCTATTGACTTGTGGAAGCGATTTTCGTACTCTGCCTCAGTGTTGACTGAAAACAACTGTTGAAAAAAGCTCAAGCAAAAAAAAAAACGATTCCCCCATAAGCGCCGACTAGCATTGATCAATACTAAATAATCTTGAAGTAATGCACTAAAAGCCGACATATATGAAGAAAGCCGACATATATGGAGAAAGCTCAAACGCACTCATTTTAGAAGTGGTCGACGATCCTGACTCGCCAAATGAATTGTCCGTCGTGGTCAGAATGTACTCTGCATTCTCTGTGAAAACTTTAGCCTTTTGGTAAGGCGGAGGGGCTCCCAAAACTGATCCCGGTATCTGGCCGCCGATACGCAGCGATTCCATTTGGCTTCTCACGCTCAACGCAGTAAGAAATTGATCTGAATGAAAGAACCATCCCGAGCGAGGACATCGCTTTTCCACTATTCCATGATACGTAGTGCAGGTATTCAAAAAACTGTTAAGTACTCCGACTAGTCTCGACAACTTTCCTTTAAATAATATTATTTCCTCATGTAGAAACCCTACTTTAAGGCTTTATGTCACAACTACTCAAGGCATTTCGACCCCATGTGGAGGAGCACTTGAATAGTTGAGCACACAATCCTACTCTTTGTTGAAGTTGAAGAGCCTTACTAACGCCGGCCATTCGGCCTTCCCTTTTCCGTTTGAAAAAGAGCAGTCAATAAGTGCCCCATATCGAGTTCTACTGCGGAAGTGGTGTATTGGCAAGAGGCGCACTATCTCACACGCACGGTCAGGGGTTCGAATCCCGGATCGATATCCCCCTAGGCCAAACATGCCTTCCATCCCTCCAGGGTCGCTGAATTGGTACCAGACTCGTCTGGTAACATAAAAGCACTGACCTGAATATCGGCTGGCTACCGCAAGTCATTGTATTGGCCACCTACGCACTCTTTACGTCACTACGATTCTGAATGGAAGTCGAGTGTGGGGACGCATCCCTCAGACGGGATTGATTACGTCAAAAACTTTATCCTTTATACTTTTATCGAGTACTACAAGTCGACACTAATCAAAATCGGTTGACTATTACGATCGCTACAATTACAGCAGTACTCACAACACATCTCTTCAATTTTCTCTGAGTGTGTGATGTACGTTTCTGGAAGGATCAGTGCTGTGAATAATCGGCCAATTACGCAACAGATCTATTTCGAACGGTGTGCCAATCAAAATCCGCACAGCATGAATTTCATCATATGTGAACGATCTATTCCAAATGTAATCAAAGCGGTGACCATACTGTACGTCACATATTCTGCTAAGCTTCCCACTGTCATGCCCTCCCTACTTGTTATGTCTTCTCTATATGTGCTATCTTCTACTCACTTTTCCCTCAAAGCGTTTTTGAAAAAAGAGCCATCATGAATGATTGCCTTTCTCAACAACTGCAAGTTTTAAAATGTTGCACAATTCGGACAGACATTGCATACTCTTACTCAACAAGCGCGGAGCCCAGCTCAATTCATGTGTTCTTGGGTAAGCTAGTTACTCCCTACTTATAACTCGGCTGCTAAATTTTACCCGGGCGAAGCTGAATCCGCCAAGCCGGTTTCCTGTGGGCGGAGTCTAGTCTTGTCACCTACCATCAGTGTTCCTATCCTTCGGCCTCTGCCTCTAACAAAAATGAACGCTCTCGGTCAACAATGAAAGGAGGTATGACTTTCTGGTCAAACACAAGCACACACCGACGGACCCAGACAGATACAGATATACAAATCGACACAAACAAACCGACACACACTGACACACACACAAACACAATCGACACATTTTTGGGTTTGGGATTCCCTCTACCCCGGCGCCCAGTCCTGCCGCGTACCATGAAGGCTGCCATCCTGCCACCTGCCATTAATGCTCTCATCTTGCCGCCTGCCATTAGCTTTCCATCCTGCCGCCTGTGCACTTTCCATATTCGAACGCTCTAACTTTGAGGGGTTAATTTTCGCACACACCTTACTCCATTGAGGCGGAGTCTAGTCCTGCCACCTATTATCCGAGTTCCGACTCCGTAGTCTGTGTGTAATACTTTTCAAATGGGAATATTCTAGGCATACGGAAAAATAATCATGTATTTCCGGTGAAGTTCAATTTTCGCGCACTTCCCATCCATGCTAAGGGGAGCTCAGCTTGAGTCTCTTGAGTGTTCCCAAGTAGCAGGGCTCATCACCCAGTGGCTCCAACCAGCCTGAGCTATTCCATTTCAACTTGAGGAAGGCGCCATATGAGTTGGTGATAGACAGACAGACAAACATTCACGATTTATGTATAGTAGAGACTAGGCTCATTCCGAACGCGTTCCGCTCTAATTGATGACAAATATCATCAGCGTTTTCAACCTGTCACCTGTACCCTTTACAAAGTTGGACGCACTGGATCCATGAGAAACACTTTCGCGCCAAGCCCTGTCCTTAAGGCGAAGTCAACTTTCGCCATCTACTAAAACAGTTCCCATCTTTTCGCGTGCACTCCTATAAAATTCGAACTTTCTCGGTCTAAAGGTGCAGAAATTACGAGTTTTCGGTCCAACACACACATATACAAAATACACGCATACACACACACGCACACACATACGCACAACACAAACATACATACGCACATAACACACACTGACACACAACGACATTCACACCGATATTAACACCGACACACACTGACGCACAAACACGCCGACACACTCAACACATCCACTCACGGCGGCACACACTTATCGTAAGGGTTTCAAATTCACATGGAAACTAGAGCATTCAGACTGGGAACGCTAACAAATTTTTGTGAACCTCATTAAGCAGTTTACTTTTCATAATTGTAATTGGCGTTCCAAGCTCTATTGAGATCCTTAAGTCCCTATTCCAAGTTCCATGCGTATTCAAACCCTTCCGTGGTTAGAGCGTCATACACATAGCATTTTATATGCAAGATCTTCAGCTGGGTTTATTTCAGCTTCGCTCTACTTTACTCATATTTTTTAGTAGTGGGAACCACGATTAAGCAGTTCCATGCGCCATAATACGAGTGAAAAGCGCAGTGAAATGAGTAGCTTTAGCTAAGTTAAAGCTTGAATGTAAAAAGCAGTCACTGCAAGAAATGTTAATATTCCCAGAGCGGAAAAGAAGCTTAAAGAGAACAATCTGGATTTGAAAAAAGAGAATTCGGATTGGATTGGAAAAAGAGAATTGGCCTACCTGTAGCAGCTGCGTTCTCCACCAAAGTGCGATCATCTGGAAGGTCTCCACTAATCTGCATCATTCGACCATTCATATGTTCACCAACCACTGTTGCTGCTTCAGACTCCGTTGCTGACGCGTTCTCCAAAAGAAGAGTATTCTATTCATACCCCTGAGCTTTTCTTATACCGCTTCCAAACACCTAGTCACAGGCTCAATAGATCAGATGCATTCAGAGTTTTAAAGTTGAAGTTAGCGCTGTGTCGAACAGCAACTTTTAGCCCCGCTAACATCAGCCAACCCAAATCTACGAACCGTATGAAGAAATAGCAGGAAAAGAGGGTATTTCAGAGAACCACAAACGTTAAAACCTGCTTTTCTAGTTTTGACTTGTTGTTTTACAGTTATGCGTTTTCGCATAACTCACAACCTTGCGAAGATAGTGAGTTATACGCAAATACTGAGCATTGGACGAGGCTGAGATGCGTACTTACGTTTTCTTGGAACCATGTTATTTGTACTCACAATTAACCCACAATTACTGAGACCGCTCCTGTCCTCCCCCCCCCCCCCCTCCCTCAATGGCTTGCCAGTACTCACTCTTTGAAGTGCAGAGCCGGTCACCCGGTGTACTCTCACTGACTTAAGAATGGACACATATATGACTCTACTTCCTTTGACTTTTTTTAATATCTGCTTCTCCCACATTTCGCGAAAACCACACTGCGCCAACACAGACGTCTTACCACGGTGAAGCCTTCATTACCACGGTGAAGCCTTCAGACAAATGAAAGTCATCAGAGAAGAATAACACGATATCACGTAGAGCACTCCAATGACTACCGCTAGGATCTATCTGTATCACCAATCGCCCCATTGATCATCGATTTAATCGAGTGGGCGCCAGAAACGTTTTCATTCGTTCCTGTCGCAAGCTAAAATAGTCCAGTGGTTCTTGCTTGCTCGATGGGCAGAAGTGTTGCACTGTGCTCGATCAAACCTCAGAAAACTGAAAATCACGCTGCTGGTGTAGGTTTGACGTGTTGAGGGATCCTGTCACTATGTGTTGAATGATGCCGTGTGCATGATCATATAGATTCAAGTCCTTCTTCGCTTCACACATCTTGCGTTTCTTTATGCTCAGCTCCCAGGCTGGGTCGTTCACCATGTTGACTAGATAGACATACATACACGCAATTGGACCATTCAAGGACGACCGTTCCGTACAGTGTGAAGAAACATCAGGTACTAGTCCGTTTTTTGTTAACATCGTCTTCGTTAAGTTCAGTATCGAGCCGATCTTTCAAGCATTGTTAAACTCGGCCAGCATTCGTTCTGTATGCACGATGTTCGACGCTACAAGCACGATGTTATTCTCAATGCGGAAGTGGTGTGAATAGCGGCCGTCGGCCTTCACTCCCAAGTCTTCCGATTCTAAATAACGCATGACGTTCTCGAGAGTGAGGCTTTGGCGGGATGGTAGAGCTCTGACGAATACCTTGAATCACACTGACAATGGCTTCTTTGTCGAATGACGAGATTCGGGTAGTTAAATTGTTCTAAGGCTCACGAAGCATACTTACAGTACTAATCAAAAGCGAACACCTTAGAATTATTTTGAAGTAACTCATCTCAAGCTCAGTGTTTCCGACCGAGTTTTTGATACGTCAACGGCAGTTGTAACACTAAATGTTCTTATGACAGAACTCATGAGAAGTCTTCCTATTTCGCCTTACACACAATTTCCACTTTTCCTCGAACAGGATGAATTTTCATGAGTTTTAGTGCTTCAACAAAATTAGCTTGAATCGCACCTATCAACATAAAATGGTAACGGGGCTCTCCACCAGTCTCACACTTCGTAGCAAAGTCGCGCACATCGACGACAATTTGGCATCATCGTGGCGTAGATTCAATCAACTTATCAATCACGCACTGGTAATTTTCTTCCATTCTTCTTCCATCTGTNTGAACTCTGAGCGGTATTCATGGCTTTCTTGCCAGCTATCCTTTCCTTGAGCTCCTACCGCAAGGGTTCGATGATGTTCAAGTCAGGGGACGAGTTAGGCCAGTCGAGACATCGAATTCCCGACGTGTCAAGAACTCGCACTCCAATCTAGATCTGTGTTGGGGTCATTATTTAGCTGAGAAGAATTTTCAACCGTACGCACGATGAGCCGAAGCAATATTTATTTTTTCAGGATCCGTACTCTGAGAGCTGTTCACTTTCAGGGTAACTGGCTGACTTTTCGACAGGATTGCTCCTCTAAGGATTATTCTCAGTTCCACTCAAGAACTTTGCTGAACTCTCACGAATTTATAAAGTGTTTATCAAGGAACCACTCCGATCGCCCGGCTACCGCCGGGCTATCCTACTCATTGTGTTGAAGTTTACTTGCCTATTGCACTCTGCCATGCTTAAAACGTCTGCTCCAAAAAAAGAGGAGCTGTTGATTTCCTGCGAAACGCACACTCATACCGATACCCTTCGTGTTGTGAGGTCATTCCCTTTCGTTCAGAATTGGCTGCATGTTTTCACTCAAAATACGCTCACTCCACCACGCCCCATCCCCCTCCCTATGCCTCCGCGAGCCTGATCTTGTTCATTTACGTCTCAAATCTGCCGCCCACACTCGTTCCATATTTGAACTCCCCACGTCAAAATTAGCAAGCAATTACACCCCGCCTCCTGAAGACGGTGTCTGGTCCTGCCACCCACCATAAGTGTTCCCATCCTTTCGCCGGTACTCCTTCCAAATTTGAAAGTGCCCTAGGTCCTCGGGGTCAGGGGTTATATGATTTTCCGCGAAAACATTGATTCAGCGCAAACCCCGCCCCCTGTGAGCGGAGTCGGTGCTGCCACCCACCGTAACGGTTCCCATCTTGCCGCCTGTACTCCTACCAAATTTGAACGCTTGACGTCCACGGGAACAGGAATAATGAGTTTTCGGTCAAACACACACGCACAAACACCAACAGACACACCTGGTGGATCATATAAGTAAGATGTCTACGTTCCCTGCTGGTCTCTAGTTGTGGAATTACGGATCAGAGGCCTCATGCCTAAACTTGAAGAACATTAACAAACTATTACAGAATCGCCAGAATGCTTTGCAATTGGAACTTGGGGTCGGAGCTTGAGTCAATAGGTTGTTTTACGAACGGAATCCCATTTGTATCAAAACAAAACAAACTTTTACTCGTTGCCTCGGACAGCGTCGCGCCGTTGGTGGAGGGTTCAGTAGGGACGCGGGGGCGTTGAAGTCGACTCATCGGTTTTTTAGGAAAATCAACGATTTTTCTCACTGGTCTTCTTCAGTGTAATTCAGCGTCACGCAGATGTCTGTTATTGGTATCGTGAGATGGTAACGGTGTCACCGTCGCCGATATTTCGGACATTATAGCGGATGATGTTCGCTTGGTATTTTGGCTCGACGCCCGTATGATCTTCCTGTCGCCCGCAACAATGACAATCCGTGGCCTTCCCGATCTGGCCTCCGCAAGACACAATACCTTTGACAGCATTCGTTGCCGTAGACTATGACCCAGCAAACTGCCTTGAAGTCGAGTATGCGTCAATCCCTGCTCACTGCCTGCGGAAATGGCGTAACGCTGCTGTATGGTCATAGAGCTAGATCAAGAGGTTCGTCTCATCAATGAAAGCGATCTACGAACAAAAATGAAGAGTCAAGAAGCAACCTTGGACTTAAACAACTCCAGGAAAACCCACCTGAAAAAGAAGCTATTTCCGCAGATTCAAAGATCATTGGGGGAAGTGAACTACCACCGGTTTTGGTCGGTTAGAAATCAGTCAAAGCCATCAGTTTGAGGTAGGTTACGGTTGAAAAGGTCCGAGGTGTTTTCCTTTGAACAGTACTGTATATATTGAGTATAAACACCACGGTTGCTTTAGGCTTCAACTACTGCTTCACTCTCGACCATTCAATTGCTCTCTTCAAATTGCTTGACGTAACACATCGATTGTACTACACCCTATCCGAAATCCTAGTTGTTCTTATCGCTGTCCTTCACCTGACATTCGAACCAGATTTTCGACGATAATTGGTTGAAGGCTCTTTAGATGCTTTCCATTAATCCTATCGGAAGCGGTTCATCAACATGATGTCATGCCGAATTTTGAAAGGGGGAACTGAGGCAACCGCGCATATCTATCCTGTTCAGGGTGAAAGGTAGCCAGAGAGGCAATGTTGTCAAGGAGATCCGAGGAGGAGTCATAGATGAGTTTTCAACTGCCCTTTCTTTTCTACAGAGACAAAGTAACTCTTCTGGCAGTGTGACGAAGGGAAGCAATCTTAATCTGATAAGGTGAAGTCTCTGCGAGCTTAAGTCCAGCCTTTCCAATCCAAGCCAGTACTGCTCGTCCCTCTTTCAGACCCTCCTTCATCGCTTCTATGTAAAACTCTGCAAGATCGGACGTTTGTTGATGATAGCCTGTAGCTCGCACTATGCCACGCTGGCGTATCACCTCAAGAATCTTTAATGCGAGACGTTCCTGGCTACTTGTAGTCTCTCCGCTTTCTTAGCACTGTCAATAAGCAGATGTTTCGCGAAGATTTTTGATGAATCGGTTGTTCGTCATCGGTGTTTTCAATTTCAGAACCTTCCCAGGAACTATTGAGAAGCGAAGTGGTCCCACTTGATGACTGTCATGGATCTTTGCTCCCTGAACTTTACAGCTCTCCCTCCACGCAGCGAGAGAAACAATCTAGCGCAGAGTTCGATCCCCATAAAACTTCGGAACAACAGCGAAGCCGGCCAGGCAAGATATTCGATTGAAAACAATATGATCTATTACATTATCGAACGTCTAAAACGTGATTCCCGAATCCATTGCAAACGAGAGGTCTTATGGGTTTGCGAATCACTATGGATGGCGACACGAGAGACTCGGATAGTCCTTCGCCCAGTTCACTTCATTTCCTTCCACGAGTTCTGGGTTTAGACCACATCTTCTCACCCGTAGACGTCCGATTAGGCTTGCTCTCCTTTCCTTTGGATCGATGACCAAGAGTGCATTGGCAAAGACATCATGCCGTCTGCTACTGCATATTCCAGGGAACGTGTTCTTTGTTCTTCTCCAGTCTCGAAGAAAAAGCGCTGCAGGCGATGCCTCCCAGTCTCGATGACGTCGAATTTGATCTTCCTAGCTTCCGTCATCAGATCTTCGATACACGCTCTTGGTGCAAACGCTCGTGCACCGAAAGTACAGACCGCCATCATAGCCCTTCTCCTTTTGAGGTGCTTGTTATGGCCATGAGATTTCAGCAGTCTCCTCCGAGCGGTCATATCCAAACTGCCGCACTGCAACGCTGCCAGGGGATAAAGGTAGTCACGAGTGCCAGACCCTGACCTGGCCCTGTGACTACCTTTATCCCCTGGCAGCGTTGCAATGCTCGGAGGCTGGATAGTATCCGGGTAGCTAGCCAGGCAATCACAGAGTGGACAAGGGGCTCAGTTATACAAAGCGGCCCAGAAAAGGGTATCGACTACTTGCCGCTAGAGTTTAGCTGAGCCGATAAGCAGGATACCAACCGCACCCGCCCTTCACATACGCAAGCATTGATACACTTGCGAAAAGTATGTTTAAATAGACTCAACATGGAAGAAATCGGGAGTGCAGTCCGTGAATCCACCTGCACCTCTTACCGGTGACTTTGAGTTGGCGATCTATTCCCCTATTCACTACTTGGGGCGCGTCACGTAGCCGCGTCACTAATCGACTAAAGGTGTCTCAAAAAAAAAAACGAGAAAAACTTATGCGAAAAACCACTTCCCAGATGTAGAGAGGAGTCTTGCAATAGTCACACGCCATCGTGTAGGCACTTGGCTTCATCAGCAAATCGCTGGTTGTGTGCTTGATTTATAATTATGTAAATTAAGCCTAAGAGTCGCCAGACTATTATATACGCAAAATACGACCATCTTTCCGGTCACATTTTTATCATTTTTCCGTGAAATTTCTGAAGAAGCTAGAAATTCAAATTCAGTTTGAATTTCTAGCTTCTTCAGGAAAACAGCTTTATCCATTATGATGAGTTTTTGCAACGCGTACGCTTCTCACATAAAGAGATATCGTAAACGCGATGAGTTGGATGCCGAAGGTATTTTCGGTAAAAACACTTCCTGAGTAAAAAGACCTTTTTTAGTTCATGAAACCTAAGCTCTCTTCTCTCGGAGTTGACAGCGACCGGACCATGATTGACTACGACCGTATCACGAGTCGCTCAGAGAACAGGGATGTAGCAGGAAGGTGAAGAGGAAGGAGAACGTTCAGTCTATGAGAATAAGATGATATTCCTAATTGAACGATCTGATGCCGACTTGTGGATGTTGTTCTAGTGACACCGATAGATGATCGTGGGATTGTTCCCATCCTACCTCCTCTGGTTCCGAGAGCTTTTATTTCCTCCGGCTTGAGAGGCAAGTTATAGTTTTTAGTGGGCGACGTCATAAGTTGACTAATAACAACAGATTTCCTTCCTTATATCACTTTCCCACCCTGCCTAGAAGATCTTCTTCACGATTCTCATAGCGCCTTTGTGACTTTCTGCGGACTGACACACAAAACGATATAAAAACACACACAAAGTTAGCGTTATATATAAAGTATACCGGGTGTCCCAAAATTATTAATGCTTGTTCAATGAAATGAATTTGAAGATTTTAAGCTAAGAATAACAATGGAATCTATAGCACATTATGCGCAACAACAAGCTACAGTATCATTTCGAATATACCCTCAGAGCATGGATAGAGGCCCAATAACGGTCCTCGAACTTTCGCATGGTGCATGCACTCCAATTCGTCCAGCTGTTCTCGAGTCTAGCTTTCGAGGAATTCAAACGGGGATGGCAAACTCGACAGTTTCATTTCCAATTAGGGACCACACGACGAAGTCAAGTGGGTTAAGATCTGGTAAGCAGTATGACCTTTCTTAGGTTCTAATCAAGTCGCGCAGCTGGCCTCGGCACCAATCTTGGAGAAGCTTGGCTCTGTAGGCTGGAGTACCGTCGCACTAGAAGGACCAAAGGCTATCTCAGGGAGCGTGGTCAGATCTGGGCGTCAGCACGCTTATCAGTATGCTCTCAAGTATACGTCTCTGTCAATTTTCACGCCGGTATTTATGCTGAACTATTTCAACAGTCCTATCTTTGGAGACACTGGCTTTTCTACCTGTTCGGCTATCTTTGATTGATTCCGCTTCTCTTTACCGCTAAAAGCCTCCTGTGCGGTCATTGTTGGTATCACAAAATTTCAAGATGACCTTCCGTCTCTTGCATGCGAATGTTTGCATGTGGCATTGAATGAGCCTAGAACTTCTTTAAATATATATATATATATATATATATATATATATATATATATATATATATATATATATATATATGTATCATCTCCATAAATACATATGCGCATTACAAGAGAACCTACTTGTGCACTGATCAATCAAATAACGACTGCGGTGAAGTTTGCAAATTATTAAATATATACATATATATATACATATATATATGGTCAAAAAGAAATCACCTTGAAACTTTTTCGTCACAACTCATCTCGAACTCGATATTTTTGACTGATTTTTTGGCAGCACCTTTTTCGCATATAGCCCCCTCTCCTGCAACGCAGCATCGGCGGTAGCTAACTTCCGTCTGAGTGTCTGAGTGGGTGAATCGCTTTTCAAAAATTTTGGAAAAGGGCATGCTCTTTGGGTAGAATTCTTTGTGTTTTTTGAGCCCAGAAATGTCAAATTCTTTTGCTCTGTAAGCTCATCGCTTTTAGTGAGATCGAAACTCTGGCTTTCTCTATCTGACTGTGGAGGAGCTCTCCGCCATTGCCAAGGCCAGTAAGCAGGAATTGACCCATGCTCAATATTCAAGGCTGTTTGTTGTGCCGATATCTACGATTAGGAGGGCTATGGGAGCACTGAGCCTCACACAGGCCCAATCAAACAAGCCAGCTCGGGAAGGCCACGGATTGCCGCTCCTGGACACAACAGGAAGATCATTTGTGAGTCGACCCAGGATTCCAGACGAGCATCTTCCGAAATAATGGTTGAAATATCGACGACCGCGATGTCGCTACCATCTAGAGGTACCCTTAACGGACGGCCTGTGGTGAGCTAGAATATATGGAAGAAGACTTGTAAAACTGACAAGTATCTGGATCTTTACAAGCAGACGAGCTCGACTTCAAAGGACACGTGAGCACCTTCACTGCACCTTCAACCAATGACGCGATGTGATCTAGAGCGACTAGTCAAAGGTTGTATTGCTTGGTACAGATAGGATTTCGTTCGTAGACGACCTTTTGAAATACAAGTCTCGATCCCAACTACCAATTGCCATCTCTCAAGCAAGGTGTCGGTTCACTATTGTTTTGGGGATGTTTTCCGAGTTTAGGCATGGGGCCCTACACTGTAATCCCACCACTATAGACCAGTAGCTGTATGTAGACATCCTGGAGTAATGCATGTCACCTTTCGCCCGTTGTATGCACGGCAGAAAATTCGCTTTCCAGCAGGATAACCACCCTCAATACAGATCTAGAAGGGCGCGCGGTGGCTGACTCATCGGAAAATTCGATGCCTAGACTATCCCAGTCAGTCTCTTGACCTGAACATCATTGAACCCTTGTGACAGGAACTCAAGAAAAGGATAGCCGGTAAAACAGCTAGAACTGCTGCTCAGAGATTTGCCCAATTGGAAGAAGAATGGTAGAAAATTGACAGTGCCTGATCGACAAGTTCGTTGAATAAATACTCCGCCGATGCCAAGCTGTCAACGATGAAAACGGCTTCGCTTCAATATAATAGACTATTAGTTATTGGGGTTTTAATTTCATGTTGACAGCGTTTAAGTCACGTGATTTATGTTGTATTGTTAAAACTGGTGTTATTTTATTCTGTTCAGAGAAATTGAGAAAAGTAGTCTTTCGAACGGAATAAAATGAAGTTTTGTGAGTTCTGGGATGGGAACATTAAGAATCATTGCTGTTGCCAACATACCAAGAAATCAGCCGAAAACATCGAGATAAGTTATGAAAAAAAAGGTTCAGGGTGATTCTTTTTGACCAGTACTGTATATATATATATATATATATATATATATATATATATATATATATATATATATATATATATATGTATATGTATACGCATATATATACATATTTAAATAATTTGCAAACTTAACCGCAATCGTTATTTGATTACGTCCAATGCTTTCATGAGCATGTCTGAGCATTACGCTGGCGGCCGTCCTCTTGTTCGTTTGACCCTCATCACTTTGACTTTGGTCATCACGATATCGCACAACGTGTTCGGCCCACCTGACTTCATTTTCTTGGCACCCCTGATCGTTGATGGAGCTCGGACCTCCGGATTACTTTTGCTTTTGCGTGTACAGGGAGACTCTGAGCATCGGTCTTTCCGCAGCTTGTTGTATAATGCTGATTGCATTCGAATCCTGCTTTCGTAGAATCCAGGTCTCCGAGGCGTATCAAAGGATGGAACACACCAACTATACAACGCAGTTTCGACGACATTTGACGCTCAGTATTTCTGTTCGAGACAGGTTAAGGGGCAGGAATGATGAAGTTGACTTCGATGGAAGGAGCGGCCGTCGCTTCCTAGCCTTCCCATCTGATGAACGCATGATGTTTCCGAGAGCGGCACTGAAAGGTTTGTGCGAGATGGTATCACCTTGTCAAACCTCTCCACGCTGACAATGACTCTCTTATTAATGGCGAGACCCTGGATATGAAATTGTCGCAGAGCTATCGAAACTTCCTTATGTATTGTGTAGGAACACCCTGTTTACCCGAGGTTTCAATAGCCGCTTCTCTCTCGGCCTTCTGCAAATCGATGAACGTCAAACAAAACAAAATCCTGTTTCCTCGTGATGCTTCAATGAGTCTTGTAACAGTGCGGATAAGTTCAAATGCGATTGCATCGAACTCTCTCCGGACCACTACCTCCTCGCGTGACTGTGATTCATCTGAGACTAGCAATCCTGTTGAAATGGCGCGTGTGAAAAGTTTGTGGATTACATACAGCAGGCAAATTGAGCAGCCGTCTGAATTTATTGTACCTTCTTAAACAGCATCACGGTTTTGCTCGTTATCCACGATGTCGGCACTTTGAATTCCGGCAGGTACCGCGTGAATAGCCTAGCTAGAGTTCTGAAGATAACTGGTGGGAGACTCATCAAATATTCTGGTTTGATCCTTCGAAACCGGGCGCCGTACAATTCTTCATCGACGTGATGTCATGTGAATTTCGGAAG